GAGATAGCACAGCCACAAGAATTGCCCAAGGACCGCAGCTTTTGTGGCCTGAGTGCCTGAAAGATTTGTTCTAGGCCCCAGTCCCCCCTTTTCAGCTAGTGGTGGCCTAGCTTGAACGCAGGTTTCAGGGAAGAGTATTTCCCTCTGGCCAGGCTGATTTAAATGCTCCCTGCATGGGTACCTGCAGAGTTCTGCCCTGTGCTATTTTCCCTGTGACAGGGAAGGCCTGAGTTCCAATGCAGAGTCCCACAGCCACTTCACTCTCCCTCCCTGGGCACACAATTCTCTTTCCACGTGGGAAGCTGGCACTACTGGGGATGGAGGAAGGCCAGTGTAGGCAATGCAAGACTGTCTTTTCTGTCCTCTTCAGTGCTTCTTTCCTCAATATAATGCTCAAACTAGGAACTGTGCTCACTCATCTGATTTTTGGTTTGTCTGAAGGTGCTTCCTTGTATGGATAGTTGAATTTGGTGTTCATGCAAATGGACGATTGCTAGAGGTATTTATTTGGCCATGTTGCTCCACTCTGTTCTTATTTTACAAGACAAGTAAGTGAAATTGGTGATGATGTTAAAATAAAAGTACTTTCTGTCTAATTATGTTCTTGTCAAGAACAATACTCTGAGATTCTTTGTTGGTGGAGGACTATAGCACAGTAGAACCATCTTACGTCTAGTATCCTCACTGGTCAATGCAGTGCTAAACAACTGCTTTACCACGTTTGCTGAATGGATAAACAATGACTAATGAATGCATGAATGAAAAGGATTCTACAAGATCATCTGTCATTAATACACCAGATAAAAAAAAAGTCTTGCCCAAGACAGCATTAGTAAATGGTTAAGTAGAGACCAGAATCCAGACTTGTCTACTTGTTGATATTTTTCTATAATTTTCTAATCCTCTTATTTCTTGCAATGGCACAAATACGTAGACATGCACCCTTGTAGTGACTTAAGAAAACATGGTACTGTCATATTTTTAACTTATTCATAGCAGAATCCTAAGCACTAACTGAAGAAGTTAACATTAATTTTCCTATGTTAATTTTAGTAAATGAGGGACCAAAAGAAAATAAATGGCCTGGGATTACAGACCAATTTTTAGTAGATCCAGTAAATGTTATTCAGTTTCAGAGGGAGATGATTCTCCCACAAATTATAATGTTATCCCATCTATTCAGAGTCAGTGATGGCCTTATGACTTTAAGCTGATCCTTTCAACAGTGCCCTGGGGCCCTTTTGCATCTGTTATGATTATGGAACCCCACTAAGAAGATTCCCTTTGAGATCTTGAGGGAAAAAAAAAACACCTTGAGTATGTATCATTAAAAGTTATAAAATAGGGCCAAAGTCATGCTTTCCTTTCTATATCTTTGATCTTAATGATCTGAGCTTGGGCCGGAATAGTTTTGTGCTCTTACAACAGCTGCTGGGGTATAAAAGAGCATTTTTGAGAAGGATGGAGATTGAGAAATATGAATTGAAATCAGGACTAGTGAAGTTAATGTGGCAGCTATATGTAAAGGAGTATTCTGATATCTAGTTTGGTAATGCACTAATACTTATAGGTCAGGTATTTTTAATTAAAAATGCTTAAAGATTAAAAATTAGAACTATACACACCTTTCAGACTATTTCTGTACATATTTTTTGTGTTGAGTCAGATAGAAAGTAGAAATAAAATAGGGAAGTAAAAAAACTGCCAATAGGAAAATCAGTTGAAGTAATCCAGATGCTTCTACCATTTTAAAGGTCAAATCTGGTTTGCTCATAAAGCCCAGAGTAGTGTGAGAAGAGATGTTTAATAAATCTTGGAATTTGGTAGTAGAAGAAAAGTGGTGAATTTACAGGCCTTAAGCTTGGTTGCTTGGATTGTCACATTATGCCATCTAAGAGTAGAAAAGATTTCTTCCAGCTGTAAAATTGTGGGTTAAAAGAAATGTCACACTTTAACTTTTTTTTTCCCTATTTGAATCCATATGCTCTGAATGTTACCAGATTTTCAGGCTTTAGAAACCGAAGGCTTTTTATTCACAGGACAGGCTTTGCAGGAGCTACTATAGTGCAAATTCATCCCCATAACTCCCCTAAAATACATTTTTTTCTTTTGGAAATATCAGCTCTTGGATGGCAAGAATAATTTCATTGTGGCCTTCATAGCTTTTGGCTTTTGTCTGAAACATCCAGAAAGTGCAGAGGTTATGATGTATTGCTTCAGTGACACGAGCACTTGTCCCTTAGGATTGACATTTCAGGAACTCCTTCATGTGTTACAAAGCCACATGCAGAGAGTGTTTGAAAGTCACTGGATAGCTAACTTCGCCCACAGGGAAAGTGACAGGGACCTGGAGTAAAGCCTTTTCAGTGGAAACCTTTAGGCATAATTAGATTATTCTAGCAGGTAGTGGATTCATGTCAGTCCAGCCATCTCTAGAGGATGCTGGGAGCTACTAGCCTCACACGACAGCTTTCACTGGCTGGTTGCCACTGAACTCCGAGTTAACTTCACGGACCTTTTGAACTACTTTCAGGGTGGGGGCATAAGAATGCATCAGGCTCAAGAGAAATTTTAAAAATTCATTCTTCATCTGAGTTGGCCCTAGGGATTCAGAAATAACCTGGGATGGTGCAGGTAATTCTAGGGTTCTCTGAAATGTGAACTATCTATAAAATACTCATAAGACCTATAGTGAGCTATCCTGGTATTAGTGCATTAGTGCACCAACACTTGTATTATATATGAAAAATATTTGTAAAATCCTCAACTGACATATATTGAAACATTAAAATATACATAAAATATTGGTGTCAAAACAGGGCTGATACTATGTTATTGGTTAAGTGGGTTTGCATAATCTGAACATTGTTATTATGGAAAGCATAGTTTTAAAGAAATAGTTCAATTATAGAATTAATCATTAGCTTTTTTTTTTTTTTTTGAGACAGAGTTTCACCCTGTCACCTGGGCTAGGTGTGATCATAGCTTATGGCAACCTCAAACTCCTATGCAAAAATCCTCCTGCCTCAGCCACCCAAATAGCTAGGACTGCAGGTGTGCAACACTATGCTTGGCTACTTTTTGTACTTTTTGTAAAAATGGGGTCTCACTGTGTTGCCCAGGTTGGTCTTGAACTCCTGATCTCAAGTGATCTTCCTGCCTTGGCCTCCCTAGGTGAATGCTGGCATTGTAAGTGTGAACCACCACACCCAGCCTCATTAGTTTTCTTGGACAAAAATATTTAGAAGGATTTTGTGACAAGCATGTTAGTCGCTTAGCCATTATCTATATTGTTTCTTTGTTGATTAGCCCGAAACAATGTAAGCCTTTTATGACATCACATATGCTTTCCCAGCAATAGGATTCCATTCTAATCAATGAGGTCTAAGGGGAAGTAGGTCATGGTAGCTCTTGGAAAAGCCTTTAATTTCATGATAAAAGGGAACACACATTTTTGGCTTAGCCATTTTTGGCATCTTTGCTTTCATCTTTCTGCTCATTGCCTTATTTAGAAGTTGAACTGAGTATAACTACCTTGTACTTCCAGTTATGGGAGATAAACTCATTTATTTAAGGCATTTCTAAATCATGGTTGCAAAGTGGCTGCTACACTACTATGTATCACTTCCTCACTCCGATTAAGAGTAAAACCTAGCATGATTGACTTTCCCTTAGACTTCATTGGCCATACCTGGTTCACATGGCTAGAGAAGAAGCAGGGCACAAACACTGAAAGTTCGTGGATCCATTGTTCAACCTATGAGTTCGACTGCCTACCTCTGAACTTTTATTTTTACTTAAAGCATAATGATAACATTGTATGTTACTTGCAGCTGCAAACATTACCAAATAAAATAGAAAAGTAGAATTTGGAGAGAGGAGAATATTTGAAGGTTAGGAAAGAGTATGACTGAGGATGAGCCAGTGAGTAGATTGACCTGTCTCAAGAGGATTAACTGGTCTCTAGAGTAGTGGGAAATTGGTTATTAAATCCACGGAAGGCTATATTCTAAAATGAGGATCTATTCTAGCATCATTGTAGATATTACTAACAAAAATACCAGCTAAAACATTTTGCTGGCCTATTTATTATGTTTTCTAAAAACAGTTTCTTAACCAGGATTTAGGAAAGAATTCTAGCTATGTAAACAACTCTTACATAGGCAAACTGGCAGGAGACAGAGCATATATGATCCAAAATGTTAATCTTAAAATATCTTTGTTTGCATATATCAATTAAGAAATATTTTGTAGCACATTCACTTGCTCTGAACTGACTTAAAGGGCCCCAAGGCTGTACTACTATGGTTAATTTATTGGTGTATTATTAGGTAGTAATCCAATGTTTTAAAAAACCATTTGCTTGTCTGTTTTAATTTGGATTAGATACATTGATAAATAACTGTAGAACATATTTTAGATATTCAACTTTAAGCATCTGTATTATTCTTTAAAACCTATTCTAATAAGGTGTTCGGAACAAGATTTATTCTAAAGAACAAAAAATTTAAAATACTTCAGTAGACCAAACAAGAACTGCTTTAAAAATGGCAAATTTCATATCTAATAAACCACTGTTCTAAGTAAAAAAAGAATCAGTTTGGTGTGTCGAAATGCTTTTTCACATTCAGATTTATACTGGTGACTATTTCATTATTGCAGAGGAGCCCAATGTGGGTGAGATGCTACAAATACCAACAGTGAGGAAATCTGGTTCTTTTAAGTCTGTGTTTTTGGCTGACGCTACAGAGTTTCCCAGTGGTGTCTGTTATAAAGCTACATGCAGGACTTGGCAGCAAGTTAGAGATAACAAGACTTCCATCCCAAAGACCATCCAGGCTGCATGCTAAATTTTGCCCATCTGTCACCAGTCTCCTCTGTCCCATGTCAGAGTCAAATTTGGAAACTGATGACATTGGAGTTACTTGTTATGCCTGGCAGAACAAAACCCAAAGGTCTTATTGTTCATGACAGTTCAGATGTACTTGAACAGTAATTACCATTCAGATGGATTTCCTTGCGGTGTTCTCCTTTTTCATGAGCTTCCATCTTCTAGTCCCAGTGTATAGGGTACTGAATATTAGAAGCAACAAGAGATGGTACCACATATTAGTTTTTAAAAATTATTTTATGCAAAAGTCAAAGAATACCAGAACAAACCTAACATTCAATTGGACTATATTTTTGCTTGTAAACCCAAATATGTATGGGTAAGTAATATAGAATCATAAATATATTTTCAGAGAATGATGGTTTAAAATATTTTAGTCTTATGAGTATATAATTGAAAATGTCACAGTAAAAGTTATCCTTTTAAACACATGATACAAATGAATCTTAGAAATAATGTTGAACAAAAGAAGCCAGACACCAGAAAATATGTACAGTATGATTCTATTTTCATAAAGTTAAAAACAGACAACTTGTATATATTCTAAAAAATTAGTAGTAGTCATCCTTGAGTATCTGAATGTGGGGCAAAGGAGAGGCTTCTAGAATGCTAGTAATGTTCTCTTTCTTGAACTAGCTAATGGTTACACAATATGTTTATGTTGTGAAATTTATCAAGCTGTATATTGATAGTTTGTGTATTTTTTATTTCAATATCATTTTTCAATTGAAAAAATAAAAAAGAATTAACAATGACAATGATAATTATTTATGGAGTATATCTGTGTTAGATATATCTCTAAGTATATGAATTACATTGCATTACTTAGTGATTATACCAATTTTGGAGGTACCAATTATCCCAGTTTGCTAAAGAGGAATTCATATTTGGAGGAATTAAGTAGCTTGTTCATGGTCACACAGCAAGTTAGGGCTTGCATATAAATTTGAATGATTGTTTAACTTCAAAGAACAGGAACTCTCATATTGTGCTACACGCTTGCACTTACTGTTGTAGTTGCATATTGAGATAAGTTGTTAATTTCAGACTCGATTTAATTTTCATTTTGGGAACATATAGTTTTCTTTCTGGATTTAACTTTCCATTTCCATGATAATCAATGATTTGTTATTACAAACAGATTTTGCTCTCAATCTGTACTTAGAATTCACAGAACTAAAGAAGGAATCAAGCATAAAGCAACAATAGTGGTTGAACACTAAAGTTGGGAAAGACCAAAAGGTTAGCAGTATCTCACAGACAACTGCAATAGGTAAATTTGGGGATATTTTGATTGGCAGCCTCCTAATTATTTTTTATTATTTTATAAGATTGCTTTCTAGTTTTATCCTTTGTGCTTCTAAAGTTTTTGTTGAGAGAGAAAAAATAGAAGATATTAAGATAAAGCTTTGAATCTAAGAACAGTTATTTTTAATGTATAAGGGTTATATTGGTCAATTAGAGAAACCACATAGTCTAAGGAACAACATTTTATTTCTCATTAGAAAATGGATTTCCTCCCATGGGCCACTTGTAGCAGTGATGAAAAGATGAGTGCCAGGGAATAGGGGCATAAGGGAGGTTGACCTGTGTCTTGAGGGGAGACAGGTATAAACTTTTGTGCAAGTCAGAATTAAGAGGTAAAAGTGATACATTAATATTATATAGAATTAAAAGCACTGCCAAATTTCATTTTACCCCCATAATTCTGTGAAATTGGTATCATTGTTATGTCTATTTTGTAGATTAGGAATCTGAGGCTCAAAGAGGCCAGGCTTATTTACCCAGTAAGTAACAGACTGTGGAAATGAAGGGGAAGAGGAGTTAATTTATTGGATAAATTGGGAAAGCTTCATGAAGGAAATGCGTGAGTTATGTTCTTAAGGAACAAGTAAGATTTAAGCACAAGAAAGTAAGGGAAGGGCACTGTTGGTCGAAGGAGTGGTGAGAACCAAAAGCCTACATGCAGGAGAAAGCGTGTCTCTTTTGGTCAATGGTCAGACTACCACTGTGGATGAAGAACAGGTCTCAGGGCCATTGTAGTTAGGCTGGCAAAAGAATTCTTTTGTGATCATATCATGGAGCCTGATTCTGTGGGCTGTAGGAGAGACTCCATTGTGTGTTAGAAAACACTGATATTGTGGATAGGTAGGAGAAGTCAAGAAATGGAAGAGACGAGACCAGTCGGTGAGTTATGATAATAGTGCAATGTGGGCTTGAAGTAGGATGAAGTAGTAGAATCAGGAAGTGGGAGGGCAGGGACTGGAGAGCGCTTCAATGCTGACTGTTTCCCAGTGAGGCCCACTGCTCCTGCCTCTGTATAACTTCCTATTTCATTACCTCAGAGGAATCCTGCCCAATCTCATAAAGAATTTTCATTGTAACTCCATTTACCCACTATTTTGAGAAACTAGGTTTCTTTACAGATTTATTAAGATTACAGTAAGGGTAATTGTGGCACTTTTTATTTATCCATATAATTTTATTTTCATTTTACATAGACACATCATGAAATAAAAACTTGAACTTCAAAGCTTTGGCTTTAAAGCTATTTGAAGTAACTGACTTGCTGTTTCACCTACAGCTCTGACTTCCTCTCTTTGTAGCTTGTGTACCTAGCATATTTGACGCTCAGATTTTTTTTTTTTAACATCTTTTCCTCTGTATAACAAGATGACTTTTAGTAATAGTTATGGGATAATCAGTGATATTATTTTTTTAAATTTGTTCTTTGGGTTTAAAATAACAATGTAAATAAAATAACATTATAATTTTAAGGTTTTATTAGTATATTGTAAAATATTCTACAAATGCCATAAAATTTGTAGTAAGCAAATGAAAATGTACACCTTATAGTTTGTACTATTTCACTGATTTAAATTTTAAACACAAGTAAAAGTTCCAGCTAGACAGAGAATGACAGGATTAAAGTACTCAAGTTCTGTTTCTTCATTACAAAGACTATACTAGTATTGTTTATTTTGAATCTACTGATTAAATATAGAAACAGATAGTAATATATGTGTTGGAGACACAAATTGCACTGGAAGCAAGTGCAGATGGTTCTGAATTATTGTAAAAATTACACTTGAAATGAATATGTGTAGTTTAGTTCCTATCTGTGAGGGATTAGTTGTATAAGTGGAAGGTAGTTGTTTATTAATTGTTCTCCAAACTTCTATGTAGAATACAATTTTTATAAAAGAATAAGTAATAAAAATGTACCAATTTGAAACTTATTTTAATTATTAAATTTATAATAATTATAAAATTATTTAGAAATTAGACAAATAAAATATTGTTTCCAGGATATTTTGTCACTAAAATTGTTAAAATTATGGGTACATGGCGATCATAAAAAGCTAGCTAACATTCGTGGTTTTAGTTTATCTACAGGCAATGCATTCCATAATTGCTTGTGCCCAGGCTGGGCTGCCTCCTCTGCCCCACTCTGTGTGCCACTGCCTTTCCTAGTGCCTTTCTTCCATCTGAAATGACTTTCTTTCCCCTCACCCTGCCTCTGGCCATACATCTTCATTGCCCTTCCAGTCAAAATCAAATACCACATACATTATTTTATTGCCATGACTGAATGCTATGTCTCCTTCCTTTGAACTCACTATGCACTATTTTCATTACTCTGTAGACTACCTTGTGATATTAACTTTGCAAATGTTGCTGAGGGTATAATCTTAGCACCTAGAATTGAACACTTTCTATTCAACTAGCCAAACCAGTCCTTAGACACTTCTTATTGATTGAACAAAAAGAAAACTATTACAGTGGCCACATTTGTTTTTGTTTTGCCATTGATGTTATAGTGACAAAAAATAGGATTTAAGGGATATTAATACATACAAGCCTGTAATTCAACATATATACCTCATATTTTTTTTCTAGCAAAATATAAACTTAGTGTTTCTATCTTTCTCCAGAATAAGACAAGGAACTCAACCTCTGACCTAGCCTCATTTCTTTTCTCTTACCATCTTACTAATGTCTGAAATTTTTGTTCTACTTATTATATTCTTAAAACCCTCTGAGTTTATTTTTTACATTTAATGTTCTATTAGAATTGCCAGTAGATTTTATAATTACTTTTGTCACTGTTTTATACATCCATTCCTTCTTTCTATGCCTTTCTTCTTCCTGAAGAATGTCCTTTAGTAATTCTTGCAGGGAGTATATGTTGGCAATGAAACACTCCTGTCTTTTTATGTCTGGAAAGTTCTTTTTCTTATCATCACTGTTAAAGGTTAGTTTAGGCTGGCATGTAACTTTAGGTTGCTAGTTACTTTTTCTCAGCATTTCTGAATATTCTGGCTGCTATTGTAGCTGATAGATATATGCCGCCTATCTAATCATCACTTGCCTAAAGATAATTTATCTTTTGTCTTAGGAGGCTTTTAAAGTTTTGTCTTTATCTTTAATGTATTCTAGTTTTATTATGATGCATATAGATGTGAATTTATTTTTATTTATCCTGCTTTCTTCCAATTTTCATTATCTGAGAATACATTTTTCTTTAGTTCTTGAAAATTCTCAGGCATCATTATGATTATTTTTTTCTTTTTTTTGAATGTTGGTTCTTCACCATTCTCTCAACTTGCTACTACTTCTGGAACTCTGGTTAGCAATATGTGGGAGCAGAGTGACATTACTGGTGGTCACCAATACTGGAATATTTACTCCTTCCAGGGCATAAGTGTGACTATACCTCTTAGCTCCTTGCAGTTAAGCAGAACTATGTAACTAATTATGGCCAGTAAAACGTGAGCAGAAATGATATGTATTATTTCCAAATTGAAGCAGGGAAAAACCCCTGTGCAGCTCTCCAGTCTGTCTTGTCTTCTGCTTAAGCAATTATGGAAGAGTGTCATGAATGAGTGGTAAATAAACTTTTATGAAGCCACTGAGATTTGGGAGTGTACATTAGTGCAATATAGCCTGTCCTATCCTGAATAAAATAGGGGGCCTCTCAAACCTATTCTGAAGGTTATTACAATTATCTTGCATAGTTTTCATTTATTTATTTCCCTGATAATCTCTTTCAGTTGAATAATTGTTTCTTTACTTGTGTTCAGCTCAGAATTAGTCTCTTTTTATAGTTTTTATTTTAGTGACTACTTTTTTTCTAGCATTTATAATTCTATATTCATCATAACCATATGTTCTTGGTTATAATTATTATCTATAATTTCATATACTTGAGTCATATGTAATTTCTCTTCATGTCTATAAATATATTAACATATTATTTTTAAATAATTTTCAAAGTTTTATTATTTGCATCCCCCCAAAATGGATTCTCTCAAGTGTTTATAATGTCAGTGGTCTATTGTAGCAGTTCTCATATAATATCAAATTTTTGTTTTCTAACTCCTTTTGAATAAGAGTTTTTTGGTTATTCTTCATGTCGCTGCTGTTTTTCTTTCTTTTCTTTTTTTTTTTCTCTTTAATCCCCTTCTTCTTGAGGTTATGTACCTTGCCTACTAGTTTTGTCATTACCTGTATCAGACTCCTCTCTAATCAAAACTAGGTCACGTACTGGCATTGTGGGTCTCTGGTCCTGCAGGGCTATTGGTATTTTACAAATCTTTTTGCTAAGTCAAAGAGTGACTGGACCCAGGGCCAGTATGAGGAACAGCCTTGGCTTTCCCTCACTTCCCTGACTGCAGCTTGACATGTTATTAGTTTCTGCCCTGGGCAATAGTCACGACTTTGTCAGGGTTTCTTCCGTAAATCAGGAAAACTAAACCAACCTCTGGTTTCACAGCCTGAGTCTGGCCCCAGTCTCCTGACACAGATGGGGCACTTTAGGGTCCTGAAATTCTTCTCCCCATATACTACCTTGAAATTTCTTTTTTCCATTCCAAGAGCCTGTTAGATTGTACTTAGTGTATTGTTTTTCTGTTCCAAGATGTTTATCTTGTTTCTGTGTCCAGTTTCGTCTTTTAAAATATAATTTATTATATCACAAAAATATATATACGTGTGTGTTTCACTTATTGCTATGGTTTTGAAGCAGTAAGAATGAGTATTTTTACCTGAACTCACAATTCCTTCTTAATGAGAAGTTGAAGTCTTTAATTTAAATGAGATTAACCCTCTGACTCATGATGTGGTGATCTTTTCTTATTACAAATTGCAGATATTTCGTTTTGATTTATTTCCTTCCCAATAGTTTTCACTTAATTTTTAAAAGATTGTTTTGAGAAATTACAGAGTTTTTTGGTGTGGAGGCAGTTAATTGAGTCTGAAAGGCTGTTATAGTGGCCTAATTAGAATAATGAAAGGCACCTATCACTCAACTTTCTCCTTTGTTAAAGCAGGTGAGTATGGGTTAACTCAGCTTTTTAGTTTTCCCATATTTGTTTTTTTTTCTTTTTCCTCTTCATTTAGAATTAATAACTTAAGGGAAAAATAAATGAAGAGATATGAGAACATCAGGATTAGAATCACTTAATAAAATGTCGGTGGCAGCTGGTGAAGAAGGTTGTAGCACATTCATTTTCTGTGTTACTATGGGTGAGATGAAATCAGATTCTGTTTCATTGTGTATTGTTGAGCCTATTGGTGCAAGTCTCTGAGATTGCATAGAATATAAAATGCAATATTTTTCCAGGGAGCACCACCCATAGAGATGGAACAATGTTTTACTTTCAAGATTAGCTTTTCTTTCATCCTTCTTTTGATGAGTGTTTTTATCACACATGTGCCACCCTTGGGAATATTTTTAGAGGGAATCAAAACATTTAAAACAATTTCAGGGTATATTTTTCCACATTATTATAAAAACCCTTCCTTTATTATAATACTTAGGCTTTCTCAGTGCATTTACTTATTTTTATATCATTCCTTCTTTAACCAAAAAGTATTTTTCTTTACAGAAGATACTCATTTTTTTGTGGAAATAGTTTTAAATGCATGACATATACTTTAACTTCTGTACTAGGTTGAGCCTGTCTGTTCCTTCAAAACTTACGTCCACCCAGAACCTGTGACATTATTTGGAAATAAGGTCTTTGCAGATGTAGTCAAGTTAACATGAGGTCATACTGGAGTAGAGTGGGCCCTAATCCATTGATCAGTGTCCTTATCAGAACAGGGAAATTTGGACACAGACACAAAGAAAGGAAATGTCATGTGAAGAAAGAGACAGAGATTGCAGTGATGTATCTACAAGCCCAAGAATGCCAAGGATTGCTAGCTATCACCAGAAGCCAGGGCAGAGGCATGAAACAAGATTCTCCTTTAAATCCTCCAGGAGGAATCAATGCTGGTGACACCTTGATTTTGGATTTCTAGCCTCTGGAAGTGTGGGGTAATATTTCTGTTGTTTTAAGCCACACAGTTTGTGGCACTTTTGTCCTGGAAACCGTAGGAAACTAATTTGCCTTTGTACATAACATATTCTGAATCTAATGCAACCTTTACATATGCTATAAACAATTTATGCTTTGTTTTAATGCCACAGTGTTCCAAGAGGCCATTGGAGTGCATTGGACTTACCTTGCCCCTTAAAGACAGTATACAAGGTAACTTTGCTTTTCTTGCTGGGCATTCTGTTCTCTTGTCATCAGCCAGTTTGTTTCTTCATGTATCTTTACTTTTTTTCTTCCATTCTGTGTTGATGCAGCTGTTGGACTCTAAGAAGGACTGAAGGTGTCCAGAAGCAAAAAACCCAACCAACCAAATTTTACTAAATCAGTTCTTGAATTTTACACACACTTCTAATTTTATTGGCTAAAGTCTGAGAGTCTTAGGTTTCCCAAACCATATTTGGCCATAGATGCTCTGGAAAAAAATGGTGGGTGGTGGTGGTGGTGATGTTCATTGTCAAAAATGGATTAGGAAATGCTGTCCACTGTATACCTCTTTTGGCAAATTCATACACTCTCACAGTATATGTTTAAGTCATAATTCAAGAGATCTCGCTCTCTTGCTTGCATTTCTCCTAGTCATAGTCTTCTTCCCTTTAAGAGTCAAATTTGGAAGTTATGTGTATCACATTTGCTCATATATCACTGATGAATACTTAGTCACTTGGCCACATCTAGCTGCGATGATGGTGGGGAAATGTAGTATTTATTCTTGGTGGCCGTATGTCCAGGGAACCACTGGCAGGCTGCACCCGTTAGGGATTCTTTTATTTATTTCATTCCCATAACGATCCTGTGAGGTAGATGCCATTATGACCTCAGTAGGATAAATAAGACATCTTAGGTATGGAAAAGTTTGATGATTTTCAAAACCCAGCAAATCTTTTAAACGTTATTGCAAATATGGCTTTTGTTGTGATCTTGCTTTGAACATCTAAAGGAATGTCACTGTTTCTCAAACTTTCAGTGGTAAAGGAGAGATTTATTTCTTTTTACTCAAACTGTTTTAGATACTTTTGTAAAATGCAATGGTAATCTCATAGCAACTGCTGCAAAAGTTTCTAAACATCTACTCTCATTTGTTTTGATATCTTGTTGTAGACAGGGAAAGTAGTTTGTGTACTGGCACCAGTCCTCAGATCACAATTTCTATAGCCCTGAATTAGGCTGTATAATTTTAACAATCAACTTTAATAGGAAAAAAATGATACTACCTTCTCACTCCTGATGTGCTTTTTGATCCAATCTTGTGTGCTTCAAAAACTGATGCACAGATGGGACTCAGTGGCTCACGCCTGTAATCCTAGCACTTTGGGAGGCTGAGGTGGGAGTATCACTCAAGGTCAGGAGTTCAAGACCAGCCTGAGCAAGAGTAAGACCCCATCTCTACTCAAAAAAATTGAAAGAAATTACCTGGACAACTAAAAAGAATATATAGAAAAAATTAGCTGGGCATAGTGGCACATGCCTGTAGTCCCAGCTCCTCAGGAGGCTGAGGCAGAAGGATTGCTTGAGCCCAGGAGTTTGAGGTGGCTGTGAGCTAGGCCGATGCCACGGCACTCTCACCCAGGCAACAGAAAGAGACTCTGTCTCAAAAAGCAAAACAAACAAACAAACAAAAGAAAAACAAAACAAAACAAAAACCCCTGATGCACAGCTGCAATTACAACTAAAATATATATGTTTAAAAGATAAACTTATTTGCATAAAATTTTTATTATTTTTATAATTTCAGTTTTACCTGTCCAGAAAAAGTTTTAATCATTAGTTTTTTATTCTCTTTACTATTTACAGTGAAAATTTGAACTTCATTCTATTTGAACTTGCTATCATATATGTTTTCTAAAAATACTAATTACCCTCAGGGACTGCTTCATGTGCATTCACAAGTGTTCTCAAAATCTTTGACAGTCATGAGAGCTGTGGGACCTCTTAATTTCCAAAAAGAATTTGTATATATTTACAATAAAAGACTCATGTCAATATGTCTATAAAATAGGCAAGAAAAATTTAAGAAATCATTTGCAGGAGGGGTAGCAAACATAGCCATCATCTAGGCTGGTTAAAGCCATTTCATGTCATGTGTAAATTCTGCTCAATTGGTCGTGGATACCTGCAATATCATGTTGAGAAAAATTTTGAGTCCAAGTAGGTTCAGCTGGGAAAGTCTGTCATATGTGATTAATGATGTCTAGAAGAGGAGCAGGTGGGGTGGCACAAATTCTATGTATTTTCCTCCATTAACTATTATACCGGTTCTGAGCTTCCAGCAACAAAGGGAAAGCATTAAACATAGTGGGTTATGTTCATTATCTAATGTAAAAGAAATATTTACATTTATAAGAAAGGTGCTTTTTCTTTGCTCTAAATTTTGAAATGATTTTGTTTTCCTACATGGAAGGAACATTGAAAAATACAATCATTTGGTATTTTTCAACATAGAAGCCTCAACAATGACTTTTCAGTAGGTGTTATAAACTGTTTCCTAAAAATATCAACCTTGATAATCCAAGAGTATATCAGACAAAAGAAACAAGGCTTAATTTTGTAAAAATTTCCATAAATGTTGCATTGTATTTGTAATTAGCAACAAAGACGACTAGAATAAATATATGGAAAGGTAAATGATCAGTCTGTTAGAACCTCTTTTTTCTCTACATGAAGTTATGGGGTTATATCTTATTTTAAAAAAATTCTTTCATTTATCTTCCCTGACCAAAGAGATGATGTGACCTTGTACTGAAGAGGAAGAGATTCAGCAATGATGTATGGACTGGACATATCAGGGAGATTAGAAGATGATATTTGCAAACTTCCAAACTACAACTGGTATTTTAACAGTGATTTTGACAACCTGTGACTGTGGCAAAGGCAGTGTGGAAATAATTTTTAACAATGCTCAGAGGCAGTAGACATAATTGTGTAGCCTGAGTACTCTGCTGCTTTCTTCTCTTGGTACCCTTTTCACTTCTCACCTCCTCTTCTTTTTCTCCAGATATCCATAACCCATATTGCATCCCTTGTCCAATATTTTCTACCTCTCCCTCCCATTCCTGCCCTTCCCAAAAGTGTAAAGTTTTTTTAATTTAATAGGAGCAGATTTAAAGATCATCTCTAACCTTGTTATTTTTTTCAGTTGGCAAAAGTGAGTTTAAGCTGTTAACTGCTTAAGGCATTTATTGCCTCTTAGTAAAACTTAGTGCTAGTTCTCACTCAGTTTAGTGCATTCTCTATCACTGCGATACCTCAAGCTCAAAATAATCCCTTCTTACTTGATTTTATCTATCAAAATTAAAAACTCATCAGTGTTATCCATACATGTATTATAAATAACTCTCCTGGGAGGTAAATGCATTTTAAATTATTTTAAAATGTTAATCAGAGAGACTTCTACTTCTGGTCCTGACATAGTAGCAGAAACTGAATTTATAGTACTTCCTGAAATAATCCTCTCAATATAGATAAAATATACAAAACAATAGTTTTCAAGACACAAGGTATCAGGCTATGAAAGTCAGTAATCTGAGAGACAGAAAACAAATGAGGTATTGCCTGTGATTGCCCCAGTTTATATCTTTAAGAGAATTTCCAAACCAGTATACAGGGAAGGTGAGCCCAGGCAAAGCCTGTCAGACTCCCTGAGTTGAGAAGACAGAGCTGAGAGTCTGGGGAGACTCAGCAGTCTGGAGTTCCCAGGACAGAGTAATAAAAAGGAAAGAACTACACAGTGAGAAAATGCTGGAGATCTTCAGAGGATTCCCCTAGGGCCCAAGTCCTGGCCTTCAAAGACGCTGGGAAAAAGAATCATCTGAAGGGATTAAAAGGAACAGTGTCTGACACTCCCAGGCTAAAGTGTCTGTTCCCACCAGCCAGACTGAAAAAGGTATAATTAATGGGTCATTGCGTAGAACACTCAGTGGTGTGGGAAGTTTGGGCTCAGAAAATGACACCCCCAATGACGTTCTCAGAAGCAAAAATTTCTCTCTGACCTTCTCCTGCCCTCTTATTTCGGCTCCCTCATTTCCCCCCAGCTAGCTATAGAAAACTGTCCATAAAGAAATTACCTGACCTATTTTGTTTTGACTGTAGGTCATAAGACCTCCCATTCCAGAGAGGGTCCTGCCCCATACCCGGAAGGAAGAAATCCTCCAAGAAGCCAAGAATCTAGGCAGACAGGCCTTGCTGGGGTTTTCCACTCAATGTATTAGCATTAAGTCATACCCTTTCTGTCCAATCACATTTTTACATTGCTGTCCATACTTTGTTGAACCTAAGGATAAAAATGGACTATTTCCCTTGTATCTTCGTGTTTTCATTCTGAAGGCTCCCATGTCACATAAAACTGTGATCAAATAAATTTTTATGCCTTTTTTCCTATTAATCTGCCTTTTGTCAGTTGACTTTCTGTGAACCTTCAGAGGGCGAAGAGGAAAATTTCCCTTTCCTCTACAAGAATAATTAGCCTTAGAGTAAACAGTGCTTTGAACTCATCTAATAAATTATAAAAGCAAATCTGAAAGTATCAAACTGTAACTACAAAACCCAACTCTTCAAATGATTCAGAACAATTGTCAAGATAGACCATGCTGAGCCATAAAACAAATCTCAATATATTTAAAAGGAATCAAGTCTCATACAAGTATATTGTCTGAGCACAATTGAAACAAATGTAAAATCAGTAACAGAAAGATATTTGCAAAATCCCCCAAATATTTGAAAACAAATTATAACACACTTCTCAATAATCCATGGGCTAAAGGAGAAATGAAAAGGAGTTTGAACTGAATGCAAATGGATATACAACATATTCAAAATTTGTGAGCCAAGACAGTAGTTAGGGGGAAATTTTTAGCACTAAATGTCTGTATTGGAAATAAAGAAAATTCTCCAATCAATGACTCAGTTTCCACCTTAGCAACTAGAAAATAAGCACAAATTAAACAAAGTAAGTAGAAAAAAGGAAATAAAAAAAATCAGAAGATATATCAATAAAACAGAAAACAGAAAAACAATAGAGAAAATCAGTGAAACCAAAAACTGGTTCTTTGAGAAGATTAATAAAACTGATATAATCCCTAGCCAGACTAATAAGGAAAACAAGAGTGAAGATGTAAATTACTCAAATCAACAACAAGAAAGTGACATCACTTTAGATTCTACACTCATTAAAAAAAAGTAAAGGAATATTGTGATTAACTTTATGCCAATAAATTCAATACCTTAGATGTAATGGGCACATTCACTGAAAGACATAAATTACTGAGGCTCACTCAAAAAGAAATCAGTTCTCTGAGTAGCCCTATACTTATATAGAAATAAATTGCATTAGTACTTCAAAACCTTCAACAAGGAAAACTCTAGACCAATAATCCTTTCCTGGTGAATTTTACCAAACATTTAAGGAGGAAATAATGACGACTCTGTACAAACTGTTTCATAAAATCTAAGGGAATACTTCCCAACTCATTCTTTGTGACCACTATTGTCCTGGCACCAAAACCAGGCAGAAATATCATAAGAAAAATATAAAACTATAGAGCAAGATCCTTCATTAAAGTTAATGTAAAAATGCTAAATAAACATTTTAGAAAATCTAATCTAACAATGTATACAAAAGATAATACGTAATGACCAAGTGAAGTTTATCGGGAATGTAATATAATATAGTTACAAACTAACAAATAAACAAACTAAAAAAGAAAATATATGATTATCTCAACAGATGCATGAAAACCATTTGACAAATTCAATGTTCCTTTAGGTAAGAACCCTGACAAAAGTAGGAATAGAAGAGAATCTCCTCAGCCTGATAAAGGGAATCTACAAAAACCTACAGCTCACAGCATCAGTAATGGTG